GTCCAGCAGGGGGCGGTAATGTCTTTAGCAGTTGGTTCGCTGTCCGCCTCTAAATCCTGAGAAATAAATAAATAAATAATGAAATAAAAAGGAAGAACCTTATCAGATTTTCTTTTAAGGCGATATTTTCTGAAGGATCTAACTCGTTATTTATAGATAAAGGGGTGATTAAGTTTCTACATGATACTGGCCTTTATTTGAAAATTTTAGGGAAAGAAGATAATAAGACCAGCGGAGGGCAGCATTACGCTATGCTGGCATGAAGCCTGCCGTAATTTATGTATTAGAAGAAGAAAAAATAAAACGAGGAGGAAGAAGAAAAATTATGAAACATCTTTCGATATGTCGGCATCTTTCAGTCGTTTGGAGTTTTTGTTTATTTCTGCTCAGCGAGCTGTAACTCAGACTGTTTGTGGCGGCTGTAGAAGATGGAGACAGTTACCTGTTTGGAGCCAGAGGAGAGCACTCAGCCAGAATAATACGATTATTAATATTAATAACAGCAACACAGGTACTGCTGCTTCCGACTCCTTTCCATCACATAATGTAGCGCAGTCAGTTTGACAGTTATTTGTTTAAGAAAGGACAATGCATATTACAGAAAATGTCAGAATTAGCCACTGAATGAGAGCTTGGATGTGATTTTAGAAGGAAAAAAAGCATAAATTCGAGGCTCGCTGGGTAAAATAGGTTTTTGATGTGTGAATGAAAGCAGTCTGTTTTGTTTTCAAGAAAAACTGGTGCGAAATGGAGACAACAAGAAAACTGTGGTGAGATTGAGTCTTTCATTCCTTCATTATAGATCTATGTAAAGTCCTGATGCATAAAGCTCAGACAAAGCTAGCCGGCTCTGACTCCAGCCGGCCCAGCTCACAATATACAATTGCGCGGAAGCTCTAGACATTACGGTACACCCATTTACGTGCTGCTTTCACAATAAAAGCGCACATCCGGTCCATGTTTGACCTACTCAAAATAGGTTTCCAGCCGCTGCATTTGCAAACAGAAAATAATATATGCTGAAAAACTAATACAAAATAAAAACTAGTCTCTATCTATCTATCTATCTATCCATCCATCCATCCATCCATCCATCCATCCATCCATCCATCCATCCATCCATCCAT